TGGACAGCAAGGAGATCCAACCAGTCCGTCCTGAAGGAAATCAACCCTGAATACTCATTGGAAGGACTGATGCTGAAGCTGAAGCTCCAATACTTTGGCCACCTGATGTGAAGAGCCAGTTCATTGGAAAAGACCCTGATGCTGGGAAAGATTGAGGGGAAGAGGAGAAGGGGACAACAGAGGATGAGATGGTTGGATGGCATCACTGACTCAATGAACATGAGTTTGAGTAATCTCTGGGTGATGGTGAAGGACAAGGAAGCCTGGCATGTTGTAGTCCATGGGATTGCAAAGAGTTGGACACAACTGAGAGACTGAACAACAACAATTTTGGTTTTTATTCATTTCAAAGTATTTTCTAATTTTTCTTGTTATTTCTTCTTTGAATCATTGGTTGTTGAAATGTTGCTTGAATTCTACAAATTTCTAAATTTTACAATTTCCCTCTCGTCAATATCTAGCTTCATTCAGATAACACGATTTGTATGTTAATCTTTTAAAATTTTGTTGATATTTGTTATATGGTCTAACATGTAATCTATTCTGGAGAACACTCCATGTACCCTTCAGAAGAATAGGTAGTCTGCTAATGTTGGGTTCAATGTTTTGTCTAAGTCTGTTAGACGTAGTTGACTTCTAGCTTTGTTGCAGTCTTCTGTTTCCTTACTGGTCTTCTGCCATGTCGTTTTAACCATTTTTCAACATGATTTATTTATCCCTTCAGTTAGTTTAGAATTGTCTATTTCTTTCTTCAGTTTCTTCAATTTTTTTGCTTCATGCATTTTAGGGCTCTGTTGTCAGGTGTGTGTTTATTGATGATTGTTACGTCTCCTTGATGGATTGACCATTTATCAATATATAATATCCCTTTTTGTCTCTTGTAACATTTGACTAAAGTCTACTTTGTTTGCTTAATGGTATATACATCGCAACTCTCAGTACCTATTTCCCTTTCCATTCTTTCTGTTTCAACCTTATATGTGTCTTCGGATCTAATGGGCCTCTTGTAGAAAGCCTATAGATGAGAGACATTTATGTTATTATTATTTTTTTTTTTTGGTCTTGCTGTGTGGCCTGTGGGATTTTACTTCACCAACCAGAGATCGAACCCACACAACCTGCAGTGAAAGTGTGGAGTCTATAGCCACTGGACCACCAGGGAAGTCCTGAACGATGTTTCTTAAAAAAAAATCCAGTCTGCCAGTCTCTGCATTTTATGTAAAGACTTTAATCTATCTAAATTTACAGTGATTCCTGATAAGGAAGGATTTATTTTTTGCCATTTTGCTATGTGTTTTCTACATTTCTTATAGTTTTTTTGTTCTATTCTTGTATTATTGCTTTGATTTGTGTTTAACTGATTTTTTCTAGAATACCATTTTGATTCCCTCCTTATTTCCTTTTGGCATTTGTTGCTGTTGTTATTTTCTTAGTGGTTACTGGGGTATTGAACTTAACATATTAAATGATGGCTATCTAGTTGAGTTGATACCAGCTTCGCTCTGTCCCCATCTTTCTTTTCTTTCCTTCTAGGAATCCCATATGCTCAATGATGTACCATGTGTACCTTAATCTCTATTTTTCTTTATTCTTTTTCTTTCTGAATCTCAGATTAAATAATTTCAATTGATCTATTTTTGTATTTGCCTATTTTTTTTCTCCTTACTCAAATACACAGTTGAATCCCATAGTGGATTTTTCATTTCAGTTATTGTAGTTTTCAGGTTCAGAATTTCTATTTGGTCCCTTTTTATAATTTCTATCACTTTACTGATATTCTTTTTGCTGAAACATCATTCCCCTGAATTGTATTACTTATTTATGAGAGGTTTCCTTTGATTCTTTGAGTATATTTTAAGCAGTTGATTTAAAGTCTTTTCCTAGTAAGTCCAATGCTGGGGCTTCCTCAGAAACTGTTTCTGTTAATTTCAATTTTTATAAAATGGGCCAGACTCTTTGCCTACTTCATCATTTGTGTTGTTTGGACATTTTGAATATTTACAATACAATAATTCTGGAAAATAGATTCTCCTCTCTAAGGTTTGTTATTTTTTGCTTGTTTGGAGTTGTTTATGCAGATTGGCTCTGAGTTGGGGCATTTCTTCAAAGTTTAGTCAGGCCACTTGTAGCTCTGTTTTAGTTCACTTTCTGCTACTGGAAACTTAAAGATCAGGGTAGGGTAAAAACATGGGGTTTTCTCTGGTATTTTCTTAGCACACATCTAACTGTGGGCTTCAGTAGTATGTGAACCGTGAACTTCCAGATGTTCAAGCTGATTTTTCAAAAGGCCAAAGGAACCAGAGATCAAATTACCAACATCCACTGTATCATCAAAAAAGCAAGAGAGTTCCAGAAAACATCTATTTCTGCTTTATTGACTATGCTAAAGCCTCTGACTGTGTGGATCACAACAAACTGTGGAAAATTCTGAAAGAGATGGGAATACCAGACCACCTGACCTGCCTCTTGAGAAANTACTTTGGCCACCTGATGCGGAGAGCTGACTCATTTGAAAAGACCCTGATGCTGGGAAAGATTGAGGGAAGGAGGAGAAGGGGACAACAGAGGATGAGATGATTGGATGACATCATCGACTCAATGGACATGGACTCAATGGACATTTGGGTGGACTCCGGGAGTTGGTGATGGACAGGGAGGCCTGGCATGCTCCAGTTCATGGGGTCGCAAAGTGTCGGACACGACTGAACTGAACTGAACTGAACTGAACTGTGGGCACACACACGGTGTTGTGAATTTCTTGGTGTAGACAGAATCCTTTCCAAGCCCTTATTCCCCCATCTGTCTCATTACCCAAACTTCTCCCTTTCTAAATTTTCAGGCGTTTTGCTGCTTGCCTCCTTTGTTGTCCCTTACCACAGACAGCTGCAATTAGTATATTGTACTTTAAATGATTTTAAAAAATACTTCCCAAGAGGCACCTCCAGTTCAGACAGAGTTCTGAGTGGAGAGGGCAAAACCAAGTCAGGTCCCTGAGTCAATCTCGCAGGGTGCCATCAGACACAAAAGTAAACAACTACAGTCTTTTGAGAACTGCATCCATATTGCCCCCTCTGATGCCAGTAAGCCATCCCAAGAACGTAGGCCACTGCTCCCATGCCCACTGCTGAACTGGGGAGTGGGGGATAAGAGGTTGGTAAGTGAAAATGTTCTAAGGCTATCTTATGATGTTTTGCAGCCTCTTCATTAAGCATTCCTCATGGCTCAGATGGTAAAAATTCCACCTGCAATGCGAGAGACCTGAGTTTGATTCCTATGTTGGGAAGGTCCCCTGGAGGAGGGCATGGCAACCCACTCCATTATTCTTGCCTGGAGAATCCCCATGGACAGAGGAGCCTAGTGAGCTACAGTCCATGGATTCACAAAGAGTCGGACATGACTGAGCGACTAAGCACTTTAAGCATTCCCCTTAAGTTTTTTCTTCTACTTTAGAGTTCTGAAAAAGTTGTTTCTGATAGTTTTTACTACCTTATTGGTAGCTTCTATGATGGTACAGATCTTTGGAACTCCCTACTCCACTATTCTCAGTGACATCACTTGCTCATTTGTTTTTTAAGAGGCACTCACATTGTTCAGAAAAAAAAGTTGTTTGGTACTGAAAATAGATCCCTAAGCACTTGTATTAAATACCTGTTTGTTTGTTTGTTTTTCCAGAAGTGCACATAGTCTCTCCAAATGTACAGTATCCATCAGCTGGTAGCCATGAGGTATTTGAAGTCACAATTGCAAATAGGCCCAGCTAAGTTATCCCTGCTCCTATTTTTAAAAGTCTCCACCTTCAGAGACTCAGGTTTATTTGACTATCTCCAGAAAGTTTTCTCAAGAAAATTTATAACTGTGCAAATCTTTTGCTGAGAATTGTTAAAACAACCCAGAAGCTTTTTACAAGGACAAAACTCACAGGATGTTATAAAAAAACTATGACTCTTGGTCCCATTCATAAGTTCCAGGATATGTCAGTACTACTCAAAGTTATAGTCATTGGATCAGCAGAATCACTATCATCTTGGAGTAAGAAATGAATATTTATGGACTCCACTTCAGACCTATTGGAAAAAGGGACCAGGAATTTATGCTTTAATAAGTTCTTTATGTTTTTTTTTTCCTTATGGACAGTAAATTTGAGAACCATTGTAGAATGTAATATTTCTTTCATGTTTTCATTATTTGACCACCTACTGCCTGTGGTCAAATAATGCAGGCAGAATTGTTATCCTGGCATTAAATAGTGAATATAATTTTCATTTATTTGATTTCTTTATATATGCTATTAGTCAGAAAATATTGGACAACTAAGGAATTTGGGTTTCCACTTAATATAGATGAGTTTCATTTAGCTCTCTCTAGATAGGCACTCACTTTGTTTCCTGTTTAGTACTTATTGTTGATGTTTGTTAATATCCCATAATTTAAAAAGTAATTTTATTAGTATAACTATTACTTTTAAAATATATCAGACAATTTCTTTTAATTTTATAATCTGTAACTTTCCCTAACAGAATTCCTGAAGAAGCCACTATTAGCCATAATTTGAGTCATTGAAATCTGAGACTATTAGTTTTTTTCCCTGAATGATAGAAACATTATATGGCCAATGTAGTGATCTTTTGTAGTTTTCTATGATATTCCCTAAATTTGCAGAGATCATTTATGGGGAAAAACACATCTCAAACAGAACTATACTGGTTCCTTTTTATATTCAATCTATTGCATGCATTGTATTTAATTAAAATCAATTTGAATCAGATATGGACTTGTGTATTTCATTGTGTATTCTATCATGATTTTATCTTTGTCTGTGCATCTAACATACTCCGGGAAGTATTTTGTCCCTTTTTACTTAGGGAATAAAGGCTTTTTTTTTGGTGATAAAATAAATTAAAAGGACAGGCTGGATTCAGCACTAGTAATATTCTAACAGCATGAGGAATTGACAGGGATGCTCACCTGAAGCAACAAAACCTGTTTGTAAAATAACTTACCAAAGCTGATCAAAGGTCTCCATGCATATTTCATCTTCTTAGAAGAGTCTTTGCCAGTCTTCCATAGAAGCTGTACCCTGTCCTTCAATATTGGTGAATGACCAGGTAATAAAGCATGAAGTTTAAGCCAAGAGTCCAACTAGTTATCCATTTGGAGTGGGATGGTCTGAAAAAAAAAATAGTGACCTCAGGAAGATCAATTATAGAATAATTAAAGATAATTTGAATGCTGAAGGGTTCTGGGACTTTTCCTTTTCTGGTTCACTATGGATGATCTAAAGGCCATTTTCTGTGATATATAGCTTCCCCATGTACTGCTCTACGATTGGTGTGATGGGTGAAGGAGTCAATGGTGAAGGAATAGAGCAGATTAACGATGAGTTCAGTGGACTAGGGCCACCTGATTTCCTGTAGGAAGAAGTGTACCCTGTATTAGTCATCCATGAATGCATAATAAGTTACCTCCAAACTTAGAAACTTAAAGCCATAAATATTTATTTATTTATTAACTGTTTCCATGCTTTGTTTTAATAATATTCTTAGTGGGTAAACTAGTTTTACAGGGGTATTTTGGTGGAATGGAAGAAATTTAAGCACAATTTGAGAAAGCTTAGGTTTCTAATTTAAGATTTTTTATATAAAACAGAGCAAGATCATCTCAATCCATCAATAGACAATTCCAGCAACTTATCCTCTGAAATCATAATGAAATTTAAATTATTTTCCTATGAAAGACAAGACTTTCAGATCCACAGATTTTGTCTAGTTCAGCTGAGTTTCATAGCAAAATTTTTGAAGGAAAATACTTAAGGAAGGAAGTGATATGTTGATTTACATTCTGAGACCAGTTCTTTAAATGGGTAACTAATCCTGAATGCTTTCCTGTCACCACAGTTGTGCCATCCAAATATATTCCTACACAAAATCTTAACTCCATTTATTATCTCACAATTTCTGTGGGTCAGGAATCCAGGCATGGATTAATGGGTGCTTCTGCCTCAAGGTTTCATATAAGACCACAATTAAGGTTCTGGATAAGATGTTAGTCTTCTCCCAAGGTTTGACTAGGAAGATTTGCTTCCAAGCTCACTCAAGTGGTTTTTGGGAAGATTCAAATTGTTGCAAGCTATTGCTTGCAGTTCCTTCCTGATTGTTGGTTAGAGACTGCCCTCATTTCCTTACAACATGGATCTCTCTATATGGCAACTGACACTGTGGCGCTGACTTCCATTAAAATGAGAAAATTAAAGCAAGATAGCACGAGCAAAACAGAAGCCAGAGTCTTTTCATAATCTTGGAAGTGGTATCCCATTAATTCTGTCCATTTTATTCATTAGAAGCAAGTTATTAGGTTCAACTCATACCCAGGGAAGGATATTACACATGGTATGACTATCAAGAAGCAGTGTCATTGGGGACCATCCTAGAGGCTGCTTACCACAACCCTCATAGTGTAAGGTGCTCCATCCATTTGCTCACCTTCCCGGGATTTCCTGGCAGTGAGGAGGAGATCTACACTAGACACACATTAAGGGAGACAATTCTAGATCAAAACATAATGTTAGAACCTCTAATATGAAAGCCTGTTATTGTACAGTCAACAAAAGGGAAAGGCATCACCTAGAAAGAGGACCATGATATTCCACAGGCAGAAAAGCATTTTATAAGAGGAACTAAGCTCTCTTAATCAGTGTATTACAGATTATTATCTTCTCACAGTAGGCCAACCTTAATACGAAAAAGGGAGAATCCCTTCATGTCTCCATACCATCTTGTGCAACCTCAACCTTCATTTCCTTATTCCATAAGTCAGCCTTCACCCAGATCAGAGACCAACACCCTCATATCGCCAAGTGACAACCACTATCCCTGTAAAGAACTTTACTTTTCATATTCACAAAATGAAATAGCGCCTTCTGAAATGAATATCCTTATTCCTATTCTAAGGAAACCCAGATAATCCCCACAATTAAAAGATTGCAATGCACCTTTAACAAGAGACAGACTATGGCAAACAAGAGTAATATTGTATTATGAATATATAAAAATTGTCCTAAGTTAAAGGAAACTGAGTGTAAAACAAAGTTGACTTGAAAATAAGAACAAATGGATGAATTAATTTCTGGCTAAGAATGACTTAATATCTACAAAAGCAAATATAATTATGGAAAGCCAACAAAAATAAAACAAGTAACTTAAAATAATGATGTGTTCTGGATAAAATTTATATAAAAATATACTGGTGACTCATATTTAAACAATAGAAAATAAGCATGAAAATATTGGCAAATGAGCACAATATGTGTAATGGGCTAAAATGAGTGAGAAATAAATAGAAAAACATCACAAATCATTCAAAGAATCCCAAATTATGATATTTCATCAGTTTAGAAACTTTGTCCTATGATACAGAAAAGTTATCCATGGCTAAGAAACCAACCACAAGGAGTATTTATTTTATATAAGTTGAATGTGCTGACCAAGTAATTTCTTTTAAATCACATTTATCTTTTCCAGTAATTCATATGCTTGGAATACAGAAGGAGACAGTTCACTGTGTCGCACAGAAAAAAGACTACTTCCACATATACCACTCAACCATCATAACTCAGTAGGAGCTGGGGAGGCAAATTCAGTGGGGCCTAAAGTTTTCCTACAATTCATAAATACTTCTTTTAAAAAAGTACAGTTACAAATGCAAAATTATTATGAAAGTGAATATTTATTTAGAATGATGTTTTGGACTGAATATTTTTGCTACCCCCCCAAAAAAAAAATTCATATGCTGAAGCCCCAATCCTCAATGTGATGGTATTAGGGGGTGAGGATTTGGGAGATGTTTAGTTCATGAGCCCTCATAAATTTGATTAATGCCTTCATAAAAGGGATCCATAGAGATCTTTCACCCCTTCTGTCACATGAGGACACAATGAGAAGACAGCCATCTATGAACCAGGAAGCAGGGTCCCACCAGACACCAAATCTGCTGGCACCTTGTTCTTAGACTTACCAGAATGCAGAACTATGAGAAATAAATGTTTGTTGCTTAAATCACTTAGTCTGTGGTGCTTTCGTTATAGCAGACCAAGTTAACTAAGACCAATGAGAAACTGACATTAAAACAACACACATTTTTTATTTTTTATTTTTTTATGTTTTTTTTCCATTTATTTTTATTAGTTGGAGGCTAATTACTTTACAATATTGTAGTGGTTTTTGCCATACATTGACATGAATCAGCCATGGATTTACATGTGTTCCCCATCCCGATCCCCCC